ATTGCATAGGATATGCTGGCACTAAAAACACAAACTCATTCCTTGGTTATCTGGTTAAAAACGAAAGACATCCTGTACTTTTATTTGCTGAATCTGGCAACGCTATTCAACCCGGCACACCTGTCACAGGAATGAGAAAACAATTAGAGCAGCAGCTCTTATCTGGTCACCACTCAGTAAATGATGACGTTATACATTACTGTTAATAACAGGGCCATTGGAATGGTGGGTCAGGCCCTCTCACCTTTGTGTCTGCACATCTGTTCAGTCCACAAGGTTTTACTGGGTACCTGCTCTGGCCAGACACTGTCCCAGGGGCGGGGAAATCGCAGGGAACAATCAGACAGAAGAGTCAGTGGCTGGGATGCCACCGCCCCTGCCCGGGACGCTCCCCCTCTCTCCCCGTCCACCCTTCCGCTTGCTGGCCCCTGCAGGACCTCAGGTCCTGGCTGAGACTTCACTTCTGAGGGGAGGCCTAACCTCCCTCCACCAGGCCGTAACACCTGCCCTCCAGAGCAAGTTCTAGAGTCTTCGCGTCACTGTCCTAGTGGCCACTGCTCCCTGAGTGTAGGCACCATCTGCTCACGCCTGAACTCCCAGTGAGGGCACAGTACACATTCGTGCAATAAACACCCAGTCAGGCCCGTCTCGTCCGCTGCCTACTCTGCCCCGTCTCTGCAAGTGCCCGGCCCTGCCCGGCCTGCCCACCGTGAAGTGGAGTCGGCTCTCAGTCTCCACCAGCACGTCCAGCCGTAAGGTCAGGATGTCCTTGGGGAAGAAGGTCGGGGTGTCTCGGGTCAGGGTGGCTGTGTAGCCCGTCTCCGTGGTGGTCAGGTTCCCCAGCTTATAACTCGGGTAGCTGGGCGGGAAGAAGCACCAAGGCTGTCCCATCTGAGCGCCCCGAGGTCGCCATCCCGCAGGCACGTAGCAGCAGCCGCGGGCCTCGCACTGCTCCCGGGTGATGGCTTTGTCTGGGGCGCAGTCAAAGCGGCTGTTGGGGGGCATGTCACACTGTGTGGGCGCTGCTCCCAGGCCGGGCTGGGGCTCTGGGCCGCTGGCTCCCTGCCGACGAGCTTGGTACATCTCCTTGGGTACTTGGGAGAAGTCACGCAGCTCTCGGGGGACCACCGTGAAGTCGTGGAGCAGGACATGTGCCAAGAGGGCAGCGGTGGCCAAGGAGAGGAGGGCACAGACCCCCAGCAGGGGGCGGGGGCAGGGTGGCCACTTCAGGTCCATGGTCTCAGCGCCTGTGGGTCGTGGGATGGTCCTGGAGGCCTGCTGAGAGAAGAATCGGGCTCAGCAGGGAAGGCAGAGTGGCCGGGGCCTCAGAAGCTCTCAAAGCAGCTTCCAGGCGGGAACTTTCGGTGCCCAGGGCGAAGGTGTGGGCTGATGAGGAGGCGGGCAGGCGAGGGTGGACGAGCTCCCAGCACCTTTCAGACAAACATGGGGGAAGGAGGAAAAGGGAAAGTCCTCAAGAGAGGGTTGCAGGATTTACCGTGAAGTCTTGTACAATGTTACAAATGAGATGCACTTAAAATGTCTGTAAAAATGATTAATGACACAAAAAGACCCACGTGACAGACTGACAAGTGGAACAAGCAAGTTATAACAGTAGACGATTGAGCCCGATTCTGTACAAAGACTGAGGCCGAGGTGACGTTGTGACGGATGGGGTGGAAGTGGCCTTAGGGGAATGTGCCACCTTCCCCCTGTCCCTCTCCTGCTGACTGGGGCAGGGATACAGGCTGGGGAGAAGTTTGGTCACTGCAGCCGAGGGCAACCAAGGGATGGCAAAGCCACAGAAGAAAGGCCTGGCCCCCAGGAGCTGGCAGACCAGAGCCCCTCCGGGCCCTGCAGTTGGGTGCGGGGGAACCCGCTTGTCTGGGGGAGTCTTGGTGGCCCTGGGTCTGTCTCTGTCACAGCGGCTGCACTGGAGCCTCACTTTGGTTACTGTGGTGATAAGACTGTTACTACCTGCGTGTTGCTTCTCTGTATGTTCTAAGTATTGTATAAGGAACGTTGTTGTCCCAGGTCCTCTGAGGAGCAGCAGACTCCAACATGGGACTAAGCGTGGCAGGGTGCTGTTAGGGGACTCCTTTCCATTTGAGAGAAAACGGGGAGGCTGCTGGGGAAGGCTGGGAGAGCCACCACACCCCACGTAAGTCCGATCCCCAGGGAGGGTAGCTGGGTTCAAGTGTCCCAGGCTACCATGCAGGCTAAGGAGGGTTTGGCTAAGCTGCGGGGTTGGAAGCGGCTCTCGAGCCAAAGCTGGCCATGAGAGGGGCCTGGGGCTCCCAGAAGTGGCCTGCCCTAGTGTTATGGGCCAGAGGCAGCCTGGTCTGAGGACAGCTGTGCATTTCAGAACGCAGCAGCTGAGCTGGGTGTCTAACAATTCAATTCAGTTCTGACATGAACTCCTGTAGTTAGCACAGACCCCACGGGTTAAGGGCTCAGTCCCACAAGTCTGCCCTTACCCAGGCACCAGTCGTAAATTCCAGGTTATCACCACACTTTTGACCCACTGGCTATAAATGTGAGGGTTCACCCCCCCCCACACACACACACACCTCCTCAGCTTCAATAATTGGCTAGAGCAGCGGTTCTCAACCTGTGGGTCGCGACCCCTTTGGGGGTCGAACGACCCTTTCACAGGAGTCGCCTAAGACCATCGGAAAACAAAAAGATACTTAAATTACGATTCATAACAGTAGCAAAATTACAGTTATAGAGGAGCAACGAAAATAATGTTATGGTTGGGGGTCACCACAGCATGAGGAACGGTATTAAGGGGTCGCGGCATCAGGAAGGTTGAGAACCGTTGGGCTGGAGCAATTCACAGAACTCCTGAGAACGCTTTGCTTAGAGCTGTGGGTTTATCATAAAGGCTACAACTCAGGAACCGCCAGAGGGCGAGGTCTGGAGGAAGGCTGAGGGGCTCCCAAGCCCTCTCCCAGCATCAAAATGTGTTCCTCAGCTTGGAAGCTCTCCAGACCCCAAGGAGTTTAGGATTTCATGAAGCAGGCACGACTCATTAGATCACTGGCCACTGGCGTTCAATCACCAGCCCCTCTGGGCTCGCCAGAAGTTGGGGGTGACAGTTCTCGCCCTTGAGTCCTGCTTCTGTCTTTCTGGAGACCAGTTGCCATCCGGAAGCGATCTAGAGACCCCGGTCACTCATTAGCACAGAAAAGACACTTATCACTCCCAAGACTCCAAAGGTTTTGGCGCTGTGAGCCAGAACTGGGGACGAAGACTAAATACTAATGTTTTTACACCCCAAGTGTCCCAGCTGCAGCTGACCCTTCTAGTCACATCTGACACCCTGTGATCGTGATGACTCAGAAGCCAGGGCCCCCAGAGCGTCGAGCGGGGTCCTCACTCAGGAGCTGTCGGGCACTGCCCAGCCCTCCCCACCCAGGGTCAGAGGCTGCGGGGTGCGGGGGGCACAGGCGGGCTGGCACCACATCCCCTCGGCGCTTCCACTTTTGAGACCGGCAGGAGGGCTCTACGATTTACAGGAAATGGGGAAGAGCTGAAGGTCAGGTGGTCAAGCGGCCCTGCCGACCAGGAAAGCCTGTCACCGCCTTCAGGCGAGTGGCGCAGAACCGCTGCTCCCCAGGCCAGGGCGGCGGTGCAGACGAGCCGGGCTCACGGCCCACCTCCCACCGCGGGAGGGGGAGCGAGGGTTCTCGACTCCTGCGCCTCCGTTTCCTCCATGTGGACCAGGCGCGCGCAACCTTCCTCGCCCGGCGCTGGGTGAGCGAGCGAGTCTGTGCAGTTTCGGGGTCCCCGCAGTCACTGCCGAGCCCGCCGCGCGCGGACCCTGGCACGACGTGCCCAACTTCTCCAACAGGAAATCACTGACGACCAGTCGACGGGCCCCTCCCCCTTCTGGGCCTCACGACCGCCCCGACCCGCCAGGCTCTCGTCGGAGGGGCAGCAGCGGGCCAACCCCGGCCCCTCCCCGGGACGGCCCGCCACCCCCGGCGGCCCGCTGCCCGAGGCCCGCTCACCTCCGCGCACGCGCACCCGGTCCCAGACGGACTCACGTCCGCGCACGCGCGCCCAGCTACACCCCCCCCCCCCGCCCCTGCCCGGGACGCTCCCCGTCTCTCCCCG